TGTTCACTAATTTCAACAAATATCTTACCCATTAGAATTATATCATCTAAAAAAACATATACTAGAACCTCATTTTAGATATTTTTTTTAAAAGCATCCAATATAGCCGAAACAAAATTATCTAGACTCCATTCTAATCCTTTATACACTTTTGTCATTGCAACTTTTTTTATCACTTCACAACTACCAAATATCAATTAATTCGCCAACACGTACATCTTCAAGAAATTCAACATATCTTTGACGCATGCCCGTTTTTCTTATGCACGTCAAATCATTTCTAAAGATAAATGATCATTTGCCTACTATGTTCAACAAAAAAATTATGAAAATTATTTACCTTCTACCTATATATATTTTTTATAAATAGATTATATAAAAAAAGATCTAATTTTTCTAAGTTTATGTTCCATTACACTCCCAAAGTGTTATTCTGTTATTCCTCTATAACTACCACAATCTTAAACATCATTTTTATTCTTAAATATTAATGTTACTTCTCCAATCAGTTAAAATCCACTTAGTTTTTAAAGCTCAATTGAAAATATTTGTTAACCAAACCACCATAATATCTCTTATAATCCTACAAATATCATTAGCTCGTATAGACTTAAAATTTTACCCTAGTACATCTTTCTCAAAGCTAGCCCCACTTTACTTTTTTAGATCAATGTATACTATACAACGTATTGTGTTCATTATAATCTTCCAAAATAATTTCTTCCATATAACTACCACTTAATAATTTATTAAAATAAAAATTTCATCTTTTTATAATGTCTTCATCTTTGACTAAAAACTTATTATCTTCAATTGTAATGTATTTAGCTTGATCTAAATCCATATATCTTTTCTGCAACCATAACTATTTTATAAATCTCATTTTTCTATTTTCTCAATATCAAACATGTTATATAAATCATCAAAAACTATAACTTTAGCTTTGCTCGTAACTTTCTTGCAAGATTTATAGTTTCATTATAATTATTACATGTCATAATAATATTTACCTTTGTTCACTATTTAAAAATTATTTTTTTTCCTCAATCAACTACAAAACCTTTTTATTAGGGTATGATCTATTACTAAATGCTCCTTGAGCTTATATAACAATCTTCTTCATAAAAGAAGCCATCTTATCCTAACATGGTTTGGCTCAAGTAAATAATTCTGGTTTACCTCTCTTAGTAATCTATATTAAAATGTTAACAATTTCTCACCTTCTAAATTCCATGATCTTAGGTATTTCTGGTCTACTTTAGTTTGAGTAAATCTAAAACAAAATACATGGAATATAATTTTAGTAGTAGTAGATCTAGTGATGGAGTTGTAACAATGGGTGATTGAATCATTAAAAAAAATGAACATTTTTTATATCTCGGGTTTATAGTTCAAAGTGATGGTGATATAAATGGGGATGTTATTAGTAGAATTCAAGTTGGATTTTTTAAGTGCATGAATGCATTGAGCCTATTGTGTGATAGAAAAGTATCGCTTAGACTTACAAGAAAATTTTATAAGATGGTTGTGAGACCTGCAATGCTTTATGCACAAAATGTTTCGGTGGATGAGTGACTTTACACTTAGAAACAAAATGTGAAACAAATATATCCATGAAACGGTTGGTGTAGCTCCAATGGCTGAGAAGATTAGAGGAAGTCGTCTTAGATGATTTAGTGATATTAAACATCGACCATCTGATAATATTAGGTTAGAAGAGTATGTGCTTTATATTTGACCTATTTTAAAAAAGGTAGAGGTAGACCTAAAAAGACTTGGGCATGTTGTATAAAAAATTATCTTAATTTATTAAAATTAAATGAAAATATGGCACTCAATAGGACACAATGGAGAAAAAAGAATCATGTAGGACACAACAATGGAGAAAAAAGAATCATGTAGCGAACCCACTTAGTGGGATAAAGGCTTCTTGTTGTTGTCGTTATTAAATTCCATGATCTTATCTTACGACAATCATTTCATTTCATCATTTTTTATGCTCATTAAATATACAATTATAATCATAACTCTAAGTTGTGTAAGCATTTTTTTCCAAGCAATTGTTTATAACATTTATGAGAAGATTTACTTTTCTTCTAATTAAAAAGAGGTTTATTTGTGATTTTGTGACTTTACTTCTTAAAATACTTGCATTCACTTCTCATCTCCTACAATTAAATCACTAATGCAATACCCTGGGCTATTATGAAATATGGCTTCTCATATTATATTTAAACCTCATATTTCATTAAAAATATGAGTTCTCTCATAGCACATCCTCGTACAACAAAAATGTCCATTTAAATCAGCCACAAAATATCCTCTCCCCCCTAAATATTTGTTGTAATAGCTTATCCCCCTCTTCCCCAAAATACTTCTTATTTTAACTCATGATCACTAAACACTTATATAATATTCTCATCAATGATTAATGTAATATCAATCAGCTTATCAAAGCATATTGACATTAATAATTTTCACTATTAAGTTTCAATCGAAAATTCTCAGGTATCCCACTTGTACTTTTATTTTTAGGATTTCCAATAGACAAGAACTTATAAGCTTCCCAAAAGCAACTGGGATTTTCAATTTTCCACTCAAGTTCTTACTAAAAAAAAAATTAATATTTTTCATTTTACTATGTCCACCAATTTTCTTATCTTCCAATTTAAAATTCCCAAATTCCATGTTGAAAATATTATCTTAACGGTAGATCTAGATAACTCTTGCACACTTTTCACAATAAGTTGGAAAAGTTCCATACATCACTATTAAATGACATTTTAGCATATGTCAGGAAGCTTTTCACCACGATAAAGTTAATTTAAGATGCATCACTTATGGCTGATGTTCAAGCTTAGCTTTTCTTGCTTTCTTATACAATAAAGTTAAATTATGGTGCATCACTTTTGAATGATGACCAAGCAAACTCTTGCCTAATTCTTATCATATGTAGTTTTGTTAGTGCATATCATTTCTAGAAACGAAGTAGCGCTGCAAAAACTTAAATTTGGACCAAAATACTCCAATATCAAACATAATTTACTAAATCTCAATAAATGTCTCATATATACCCAAAGACTTATCTTTATGTATCTTCCTCGAAGTTGAATCCACTTTTTTTAATGAATCTATATAATGCACTATACTATTATATTCATTAAGTTCTTCCAAAAAGATAGTCTTAAGACTTTCATTAAATAATTTCTCAAATAGCTCATTAGTGGTCAAAACATAAGAAGTGAGAGGAAGTGAAAGAGGATGTATAAGAAAATTCCTGAGAGGGTTGAATAGTTGCCGAGAGGACTCCATGAAGTCGAATAGATTGATGCTAACCTGGCACTAACCGTCTTAAGTTTGTGTTGCCTTTCTCATAAAAAACCCTAAAATATCTGCATTAGAAAGCTTGAATTTCTTGTAACACATTATTTCGCCATTTTATGATCTGCATTCTCCTCCAGTATAAAGAGGTACATAAAATGTTATGTAGGTAGTGGGGAAAAAAGGAAAGGTTAAGTGATAAAAAGGTTAAAAGAAAATTTTTCTTCATATTAACGGATTTGATTTAGAAATTCTCCTACTTATGTTCCACACACAAAAAATAAAAAATAAAAAATAAAAAAAATCCAAATGGACCCAAAATGCATAATGTAAATTTTATGCTCTAATCCAGCAAAAAAGAAGCATATGAAATACAACAATAACAACAACAACAACAAGCCTTTATCCCACTAAGTGGGGTCAGCTAAATGAATTTCTCCATTGTCCATTGCATCCTCTTGAGTGGCATATTTTCATTTAATTGCAATAGAAAGAAGCAAATGAAATGATTATGAGAAATTATTTTGAGCATCATGTGATTTTTAAGAGAATTTTTCAAACATCCAACATCTTTTCATTTAGGCCCAGATAGCATATTCATATTGAAGACTATGCCACGTGATTCAGTTTTAATTGTCAATAAACTCTTTTTCGTAATTTTCAAATTAAGGATTGGGACAAGAGCACAATAAAATACATGGATTCTGCTACCTACCCCTAATAGTCCACCAATAAAAACATGTTTATCTTACAAGTTCTTGATATATATACCTTGGCTCCATCATCTTTACTTGTAATTTTGGCTGAATCTTCTAAGTGCATACTTAATTTCTTCCATAAGCGCACTAAATCTCCCAACTAAGGTTCGATTGGCACGCTACCAGAACATTCGCACTACAAGGCTAGCACTAAATATCTTAATAAAAATATGAATATCCCATTCAAGGAAAATAGAGTGCACTAGTGTAGGTGGACAAAGGACAAGATCTGCAAGTTAATTTTAAGTTCAAGATAGCATAAAATTGATATGAACTTCAGCGGGTGACATTGAATCAACTAGCATGATGAGTAATTTTAGACCAGATAAAACAATGAATATAAAGGCAAATCATTTCATGTATTGCAAATTATAATACAGAAGAAAGTTATACAAATCAGTTTGTGAATAATATAAATATCCTCTTGAAAATATATTCAAATCCCAAAAGAAATGCGGCCCAAAAATCCTCTGCATATTTTTCTCTTTCCTCCCCATAAAAATCCCAAATAATGTCTCTTATTAAAGTATAAAGGGGGTATCCTCCAAGCTAAACCAAGTAAAAAGCAAGCAAATTTTTGCGCTTTCCTCTGCATTAAATGTTTATACAACTCACAAAAGTAGCAAGTAACAATTAACTTACAGGAAGACAAAACAATTCATCCCTACTCCATTAACAACGCAAAAACATTACAGCAAACCAAACACAAAACTTGAATTTGAGAGGAAAACAAACAAACTACTATTACTTCCACGAGGAATATCACCTATCTTCAAGAAATAAATTGACGAAAGTGATGCCAATGATGCAATGCCCGCATCACCAACACATGTCCTTACCAAAGCTGAATTCTATTTCACAAAAAGTAAGATCGAATAACATCCAATCACAAATTCCCAAAAAGGAACGAGTAAATTATACCACAAATTTTAATGGGAGCCTCAAGCTCAAGCAGATTAGGTTGGTGCAAAAAAATGTCGCGCGACACAACACAGAGCTGGCGAATCTCTGCTTCCGAAAGCTGCACCTGCTTTCCCGGCCTCCCTCTCACCTCCAGCAGCCGCCGGATGATATCATCCAGAAGACCACTATCCATCAATCACTATACTCCCTCCTCCAACCCTAAAAACACGACACAAACCCTTATCTTCTCTTCAGAGAAATCAATCGGACTCAGGCAGCAAGGCCACTGAGGGGAGAGAAGCGAGAGTTGCAAGGTAAAAGATGGAAACTAAGGTCCCCGGGTAATCTTGACCTAGCTAAGACTACGATCTCTGGAAATAGCATCACTCTACGCGTCTCTCCTTTCTCTCTCTGTCTCTCTTACCTTTGTTTCCTCACGATCGCGGCGGCTTCAGCTTCTGAAAGAAAGGAAAAGGGGATGCTCTCTCCCTCTCTCAGAAGTGCGATTGACTTTCAGCCTTCAGGGAAACATGGCAACTAGAGTCCGAGACATGAGGGCTGCATATTATACGGAAACACCGCATAAATTTTTTATGTGATATGTGAGAATGGTCAGAATGGAGCGTGATTGTAACGTGATCTATATGCGGACGGTTGTATGGTATGCACAAGGATTGTCGCATAAATTGTATTTGGGTGAATATATTAACTAGGATTATATATTATGCAACAATGCTTGTGCGTGCCATCCCATATATATATATATATATACATATATAT